AAAATAATACCCATTAGCTAAACTGTAATGTTTTAGACTTGATTAAAGAAGAGCTTGTGTAAGTACACTGAATATGTATTTATCTGTTTTCTCCCAAATCCTCACAGTCATAACAGTAAAGAAATAAAAAGACCATAAACCCATAGGGTTAAAGAGAAGGGAAAAATGATGATGGTGTCAAGAGACGTCAACACAGTTTTGGAAAATGAAAGCAGATGAGGAGCCAAAACTAATATGCAGAATGTAGAGGCTTAAACCTAAGGGAGCTTGTGGGAGGGGTGCTTCAGGCAGAGAGGGAGTGAGGGGCACAGCAATACAGAAAAAGTCCAGTGTCCTAGCAGAACACAGCAAAGGGCAGGAACTGAAGACGCAGTGTATCTCTGACAAGCATCCATCTGTTCTTCATCCTATACTTTTGCTTTTTCCAGGAATTTATATAAATGGGATCATCCTATATAATAAAGAGGTAATATGCAAATTAACCCTCACACCCTCACAAGATGGCTGCCTAGGACCAGGCCAGCAGGGGGGTTAGTGAGGGACAACCAAACAACTGAACAGCAGGCTGCGTGGGGCAACCAGGCTGGCAGGGGGGCCGTGAGGGGAGACCAGGCTGGCAGGGGGCACAGTTGGGGGCAACCAGGCCAGGAGGGGTGGCAGTTAGGGGCGACCAGGCCAACAGGAGGGGAAGTTAGGGGCGATCAGGCCAGCATGCAGAGGCAGTAAGGGGCGATCAGGCTGGCGGGGGGGGGGGGGCCAGGATTGTGAGAGGGATGTCCGAAGGGTCATCCCCCAAAGGGTCCCGGATTGGAGAGGGTGCAGTCTGATGTGCCAAAACGAGATTTATTCCTTTAACTTCATCTGTCCTTGGGTGTGGTTGGCAAATGACAGGAACGGATTTCTGCTCTCTGTCTCCCTGAGTAGGGTGATTTAAGCTATTTACCCCCTGGCTGGGGAGGAGAAGTACAAATCATCCACTCATAAGTGTGCCTGGTTTAAGGAAGATAGGATCTACTAGATTGCTGCAAACTGCTTGTTTAACTGTCTTGGTTTCCCTACTCTGCTTGTCCGAGCTTACCGGCCTGACAGGACTTCCAGCCTCCAGAACTGTGAGGAGTAACTTTCTGTTGTTTACAAGCCACCCAACCAATGGCACTTCATTATAGCAGCCTGATAACTGGCTCGGTGTGTGTTCCCTTCCTTGTCAATGGACTCTTTTTATCGCTATAAAATGTCCCTCTTTATAGCGGGTATTTTTCATTGCTCTGCAGTTTACTTTGTCTGACGTTAATAATGTTACAGAAGACCGGAGAAATACCAAGCCACCCTTAGAGAAAGGGGGTTACATTTTATTATTAAATTCTGCGCAGGCCCAGAGAAAAATGTGTCTTTCAAATTCTGGGCCCCCCAACATGGAGGCATCTCTCTTTATTTATACTTTTTCCAGCCCTTTGTCTCCCAGATTTGGAATGAGACTTCTGGGCCTTCTGAGAAAGAAGGCCTGCGTGCTGGGAAGGGGCCATGAGACCCTATCTCAAGGCCTGGTCTGGCGCCAGCACTGACAACTCTGCCTGGGGCATAGTTTACGGCCTCTCTGGATGGGAGTGGTCTTATTTTCCTTATTATTTAAGCCAGCAAGCGTTTACAGAAGCCAAAATAGCAGGGTTAAAATTTCAGACAGCAGTTTTTATATAAGATGGATGCTTCAATAAAGCCACTCCAGCTTTCTCCCACCACCCCAACTTTTATTTTGGTAAAATATACATAACATAAAATTTACCATCTGAACTATTTTTAAGAATATAGCTTTGGATTTTTAAGAATATAGGTATTAAATACGGTCATATTGTTGTGCCACCACCGCCACCACCCATCTCCAGAACTCTTTTCATCTTGCAAAACTGGAACTCTATACCCATCAGTCAACAACTCCCCATTTCCCACTTCACCCAGCCCCTGGCCATCACCATTCTATTTTCTGTCTCTATGATTTTGACTACTCTAAGTACCTCCCATAAGTGGAATCATGCAGTATTTGTCTTGTTCAACATGCTGCAAAATTTCCCTTCTTTTTGAAGTTGAAGCATATATTTCATTGTACATATAAACACCATATTTTGCTTATCCATTCATCGTCAATGGACACTGAGTTTGCGTCCACATTTTAGCCTTTCAAATCAATTGATCATGCGGCCTCTCTTGCCCAGTTAGAGCATGTTTTGAATGATGGCTAGGATGCCAAAGTCTGAGGCTGCAAATGTTCAGTGACAGCATTTCACTTTAATCTCCATCACTGCCCGCCTTCCAGGCAATCCACATCCACCGTGTTCACACGTTTCACATGAAATAAGCTCACTGTCACTGTGCGTTGCCGGGAGGATCCCCATCAAGAGAGTTTTGGGAAATGTGTTGTGACATCCTGTATAAAGGCTGCCAAACAGCCATTGCACCATGCTATTTTTTTCTGGAGCTTTAGATGCTCTTTAATCACCTTTTTGATGTAAAAAAAAAAAGTTCCCTGCCAATTAGTTTTCTCAAAAATAGACAGTCATGCCAGGATGCACAAATATTTTTGCAATTGTACATATAGGACTCAGCAGTCATCAGGGTAAATGTCAAAAGTTTTGGATACTTTAAAAAAAACAACAGTATTGTTTTTATTACATTTAATATCTGCCTTTTGTCATATATAATGCTGCTCTCTTGCATAACTGTCTTTGCTTGGTTTAGCTTCCCAAACTGACAGTTGTTAAGCACAGGATATTTTAGGCTGTCAAACTTGACCTTTGGTGCCATAGCCAACACTCACATAAATACCCTTGCACCTCAATCACTTTCTTAACACCTGTAATTTTCATCCTTCTGTGACTCGGGGCAACAGAAACAAATAGAAAGGTGTTCCCCTATTGGCAGTTTGTAGCAATGGCATCACAAGCAAAGAAAACTACAGCCCACAATAAGGACAGTTTTTGCTCTCCCTCCAGAGAGCATTTCCTTCCCCCTCTCCTTCCTGCTCCCCTC